GCTGAGTTTTTTTGAGATTTGCGTCAGCAGTTAATATGCAGACAGATAGCCTCTTATTCTCTAACAGCAAGATGAGTCCACTCCTGTTCATAAATGGGGATCAAAGCTAATTAGTCAATATTGTTAGAAGATTACCAAAATACCAGATCCCTCTCCCATGACGAAGCCATCGCGGTCTTTGTCCCACGGCCTGGAAGCCTTCTCTGGTTCATTGTTCCTCTGAGACAGAGCCCTGCAAGCTATGAAACCACCTATTCCAATAGGTAGGATGGGTGCTTCAGTCCCCCCTGTAACCATGATATCAGCTTCACCCCTCCTAATGTGATTAGCAGCAGAATAGATGCAGCAATTTGCTGTGGCACACGCTGTAGAAATTGAGTAGTTTGGTCCCATCAAACCTGCATCTAAGGCTAATAATGCCGACCCCATGTTTGTTATGGAATAAGGAATAAAAAATGGAGTAATTTTCTTGTAGTTATTCCCAGTAAAAGCATCAACTCCATCACTATAAACCTTCAAGCCCCCCAATCCTGATCCGATTAGAACGCCTGCTCTTGACTTGTTCACCTAAAAAAAGGTTTTTTTTTTTTTTTTTGAGATGTCTATTCAGCTAAATTAAACAGAGTATAGAATCACTAATCCTTACCGAGTCTAAGGCTTCATTAACAAGTCCTGCATCTTCAAGAGCTTTTCGAGCTGCAACAATGCAGTATCTCCAACTGTCATCGAGCCTGCGCTCATTCTTTGCATCAATATATTTGCTGGAAGAGAAATTTCGAATCTGACCGCCAAATTGAACGGAAAATGACGAGGCGTCGAACCGGTCTATGTAGCTTACGCCGCTCTGTCCTTCTAAAAGCTTGTTATAGAATTCGTCTGTATTGGTTCCGAAGACTGAAACTAAGCCCATCCCTGTTATTACTATCCTCTTCTTGGGATCTTTCTCTCGTTTCGGAGCCATGGCGGTGGGGAAAGCCATGGACATGACCTTGGGGTTATTGAGATCTGAATAGCAAGTTTTATGAGTAGAGTTAGTAGTATGATTTCAGTCTTCGCAAAAAAAAATTATTTTATTTTCTTAAAATTTTTTTTTTTTTT